TGGAATTGGTATCCATGTTCTATTAGGCTTAGTAAGTATTTTAGAAACCACTTCAAAACGTTCGATGGACAACTTACTTTATGCAACAGATATATTTTGGTGTTACTGTTATTTCATATGCAATTATAATACACGGGAGGTACCCAGCCTTGTAATATTTTAATAATCAAATACTGTTTTAGAAATTTCGACTGGAAAAATACTAACTCCTACACCAAGCAACAGAAACGTAGTGTAGCGGTTATCACATCTGCTTAACACGCAGAAGGTCCCCGGTTCGAGCCCGGGCGGAATCACTTTCTATTTATTGGAATTGGTATCCATGTTCTATTAGGCTTTAGAAACCACTTCAAAACGTACAATGGACAACTTATTTTATGCAATAGATATATTTTGGTGTTACTTTTAATTCATATGCTAATATTATACACGGGAGGTACCCGGCCTATTGATATTTTAATAATCCATTACTGTTTTAGAAATTTCGACTGGAAAATGACTAACTCCTTCAACAAGCAAGAGATTCCGTAGTGTAGCGGTTATCACATCTGCCTGACACGCAGAAGGTCCCCGGTTCGAGCCCGGGCGGAATCACTTTCTTTTTGTTGGAATTGGTATCCATGTTCTATTAGGTTTAGTAAGTATTTTAGAAACCACTTCAAAACGTTCGATGGACAACTTACTTTATGCAACAGATATATTTTGGTGTTACTGTTATTTCATATGCTAATATTATACACAGGAGGTACCCGGCCTATTGTTATTTTAATAAGCCATTACTGTTTTAGAAATTTCGACTGGAAAATTACTAACTCATTCAACAACAAGAGGTTCCGTAGTGTAGCGGTTATCACATCTGCCTAACACGTAGAAGGTCCCCGGTTCGAGCCCAGGTGGAATCACCTTTCTATTTTATTGGAATTGGTATCCATATTAGTTATTTATTAGGCCTAGTAAGTAACCACTTCAAAACGTTCAATGGACAACTTATTTTAAGCAACAGATATATTTTGGTGTTATTGTTATTTCATATGCTATAATCATACACGGCAGGTACCCGGCCTATTGTTATTTTAATGATCCATTACTGTTTTAGAAATTTCGACTGGAAAAATACTAACTTCTACAACAAGCAACAGATTCCGTAGTGTAGCGGTTATCACATCTGCCTAACACACAGAAGGTCCCCGGTTCGAGCCCGGGCGGAATCAATTAATCTTTTATTTAAATCTAAAGCCTATTGTTATTTTAATAACCATTACTGTTTTAGACATTTTAACTGGAAATACTTCTACCTACTACCTAAATATCTCCCACCTACAAATTCGGTAGTGTAGCGGTTATCACATCTGACCATCTAGATGTGTATAAGAGACAGAAAACGTACAATGGACAACTTATTTTATGCAATAGATATATTTTGGTGTTACTTTTAATTCATATGCTAATATTATACACGGGAGGTACCCGACCTATTGTTATTTTAATAAGCCATTACTGTTTTAGAAATTTCGACTGGAAAA